CTGTTTTGTATATGCACCAATTTTTTATATACTGACCATATTATGCCAATATAATCGATTATGATCCATGTGTGCTCGGTGCGGGTAACTCCTAAGCAATCGACCATAAAATATACAAGACTGCTCGTATCAGGGCAAAGCCCTGAATGTTCCGACTGCCTTTTAAGGTTTATGGAGCGGTAATAACATTAAAAAATTCAATGAAATGAAATAAAATGAAATTTGTTTTTTCCAAAATTTGAAATTTATTATGAAAATCATCACCCCACGCGCCATATAAAGTACAAAAAGAGAGATTTCGTTCCTTGTAACAAATCAATTATGGCAAATAAGCTTCCTTTAACCAATTTGGAACGATTTCTAGGACGGATTAACTCTCCGCTTACGCGTTAATAGCGCGAAGTGTATCGCGCGTTAATTGTCCCAAATTGACCAAAATGGCAATCTTTAAACCCCCGTAACTTTACAAAAAAGGATCACAGGTGAAATATCTTTTCAAATTTGAGCTCAGAACAACAATAACTTTCGAATGATAAAAAAAAATTTCGTCAAAATTGGCTAGTTAAAAAGTCGAAATTTGTCTGAAGAAAAAAAAAACCCACCCCGAGCACAAATATTCCGTTACTTTCCAATCGAAAGTCGGAACAATAAAACACTGAACATGTCATATAAGTTTTGACGAATACTTTAGGCATGATAGCAACCGACTTAATTTTTTTCAACTAGAAAATTCAAGTTTTTTCACACAGAATTTTTATGAAAACAAGAGAGCAATCGGTTAGAAATCCTTTAAACGCTGGAAAATTCATGCATTTTTATTCGAATTTTTTTGTAAAAACCATCTGAACAATGCCGTGGTTTATTGATTAAAACAATTCAAATTTGAAGTGTTTTAATTGACATTAAGTTACTCTCGTGGTCTGTTTTCACGAGACTTGGTCATTAAAATATGATTCAGAAAACGTGAACATTTTAAAGAGTGAGTCTCAGTGCAGGATTAGTTTGCTGATTGCAAATCACTATTTTAGCATATGAAACTTACTTGGACGGTACTGAAGTCGCTCAGCAAATCGGCTGTGCTCTAAATTAATGAAGTAGTACAGGGGTGGATTTAGAGGGGGGGGGGGGGTATTATTTTATGACAGCCAATTTAGGCCGAACAACCCTAAATTTTTTCTAAAGGCGCTTTTGGCGCCATTATTTACTAATTTTGAAGGGGAGCGCGCCAAAAACACGCACTTTTTTGTCAATTTTTTCTAAAAAAGCGCCCAAAAGCGGCTTTTTTACCTGTTTTTTTTTAAATTGCCTGCAACGCAAAACTTATGGCCAAAATAAGGTCTTTATAGTATTCCGGGAGCGTTCAAAAAAGGTCGATAACACTTGTAGTTTTTTTAAGCAGAAAGTTTAGCTCAAATTAGGCTTCACTGAGAAGGTTGATTTAGCCAAAACACTTGTACGAAAATTGCTAAGAGTAGTGTAAGGGCACCAGCGGATTTGCCGGGGGCGGGGGGGGGGGTATGCGGACGTTTCTCTTAGGGATTCGACCCCCTGCCTGCCACGACCCTAAGGGTCCCTCCATTGTACTATTTTGAGATATAAGTTTATCTAAAGATGTCGTTGGCACCAAGAAACTCTAACTTTGAGGGAGGAGTGGCGCGCCTAGCAAACGAGATCTTTTGATCAAAACTTTATTATGTTCCGGGAACGTTCGCGAAATCAATTTCGTTGACCCAAAAAAAGAATGACAAAAATTTAGAAATCTGCCCCCTCGAAAAAGTCCTAGATCCGCTCATGCAGTAGTATTTAAAAACAACAAATAGCTCAATTTAGGTTTCACTGAGAAAATTGCATGTAGTAAAAACCCTTGTGTTGAAATTTTGAAGGGAAGAGTAAAACACTAGCGGATTTAGGGGGGCACGGGGGCCGGGGGTTTCGAAAACGCCTCACCCTCGGAGACTCGAGCTCCTGTCGCCCACAGGGTCCCCACTTTGTACTACTTGAGGTATCCGTTTTTCGTTGACTAACCCTAAAACTTCTCTAAAGGCGCCAAAGCTTTCTAATTTTAAAGGAAAAGCGCGCGCCGAAAAAAACGCAATTTGTTCCTTAAAATTTTCCAAAAAGAGCCCAAAAGCGGCTTTTGTGAACTGTCTCTTCAAAATTTTCTCTGCGACGCAAAATTTGTGGTCAAAATAAGAGCCTAATAGGGTTCCGCCAGCGTTTGAAAAACTATGTTGGGTGACGCAAAGAAGATTGATAGAGGATTCGAAAAAAAATTCCAAATCCGACCACTCGAGAAAATCTTAGATCCGCTCATGCAGTAGTATTTATAAACAGAAAAAAAAAACTAAATTTAAATTTCACAGAGTGTATTGCGTTCAATAAAATCCCTTGAGTTGAAATTGTGACGAGTAGTGTACAGGCACCAGCAAAAATAAGGGGGCGGAGGGCCGGGGTGTTTCTCGGACGCCTTCCTCATGGTTCGACCCCCTGCCGACCCAAAGGGTCCCCTGTGTACTGTTTTGAGATATCCAGTTTTGCCTGACTGAGCCTAAAATGTTTCCAAAGGCGCCTTCAGCGCCAAAATACTCTTATTTTGAGGGAGGAGCGCGCGCCAAAAAAAACGGGATGTTTTGGTCCACATTTTCCAAAAAGTGCCCAAAAGTGGCCTTTTCAACCTGTTTTTTTTTTCAAAAGTTGTCTGAGACGCAAAATTTTTGGCTCATAACAAAGCCTTTATAGTAATCCAGTATCGTTCGGAAAATCAATTTGGTCGACCCAAAAAAAATGGTTGTCAAAAGTTTTGAAATTTTTGTAAATCCACCCTCTCGAGAAAATCCTAAACCCATCCTTGCAGTAGTATTTATAAGCAAAAACTTTCCGATTATATTAAACAGCAGGTGGCACATGCTGATCTGAAGTGCCTGCTCAAAGTTTTTGTCACTCGCCAGCGCCGCCAGCAGACCGGTGACTGTTGTTCCGATGTTGGATCCCAGAACCATGGGAAACGCTCGTTCAATTCCAATTATGTTCAGACCAACGAGAGGGGTGAGAGTTGAGGTGAAAATGGAACTGCTTTGCACTAAAATTGTCATCCCGCATCCCACCAGAATAGCAAAATATCCTATCAGAAAGTCAAGTTTCTGGAACTTGCCCGGGAACCCTTTGTTCACAAATTTGTTCACAATTTTTGCGATGTGACCGCTGAAGATGGAGTTCAGCACCTTGACGATGAAGAAAAGGCAGATGAACATTACGACAAGAGCAATTGTAAGTAGAAGTCCACCCGCAGCTTTGTCAGAATGTTCCCAGTCACAGAACAAAGCTTCGCAGTGCTGTCGGTCGGAGGGTAACTCTGTCAAGTTTCCACTGGCGTTGACGGCCTTGACCCACTTTTTCCAGAAGATTGATAGAGGATTCGAAAAAAAATTCCAAATCCGACCACTCGAGAAAATCTTAGATCCGCTCATGCAGTAGTATTTATAAACAGAAAAAAAAGCTAAATTTAAATTTCACAGAGTGTATTGCGTTCAATAAAATCCCTTGAGTTGAAATTGTGACGAGTAGTGTACAGGCACCAGCAAAAATAAGGGGGCGGAGGGCCGGGGTGTTTCTCGGACGCCTTCCTCATGGTTCGACCCCCTGCCGACCCAAAGGGTCCCCTGTGTACTGTTTTGAGATATCCAGTTTTGCCTGACTGAGCCTAAAATGTTTCCAAAGGCGCCTTCAGCGCCAAAATACTCTTATTTTGAGGGAGGAGCGCGCGCCAAAAAAAACGGGATGTTTTGGTCCACATTTTCCAAAAAGTGCCCAAAAGTGGCCTTTTCAACCTGTTTTTTTTTTCAAAAGTTGTCTGAGACGCAAAATTTTTGGCTCATAACAAAGCCTTTATAGTAATCCAGTATCGTTCGGAAAATCAATTTGGTCGACCCAAAAAAAATGGTTGTCAAAAGTTTTGAAATTTTTGTAAATCCACCCTCTCGAGAAAATCCTAAACCCATCCTTGCAGTAGTATTTATAAGCAAAAACTCAAATTAAGTTTCACTGAGAAGATTGCATGTAGTAAATACCCTTGAGTTGAAATTTTGAAGGGTAGTGTAAAGGCACCAGCGGATAGAGCGGGGCGGAAGGGGATGCGGACGCCAACCTCAGGGATTCGACCACCTACCTACCCTTCGTACTAATTTGAGATACCCATTTTGGCTGACTGAACGTAAATTTTTCTAAAAGCGCGTTGTTTTTTAAGTATTCCGAAGAGCGTGCCAAAACGACGGGTTATTTTGGTCGAAATTTTCCAAAAATCGCTTAAAAAGCGGCTTTTTTGACCTGTTTTTTCAATATTTGCCTGCGACGCAAATTGTTTGGTCAAAAATGGTCTTCATTTTATTCCGGTATTTCGAAAAATCAATTTGGTCGACCTAAAAAAACGGTCAACAAAACTTTCGAAAGTTTTTTAAAATCCGCTCCCTCGAGGAATTCCTAGATCCGCTCCTGCAGTAGTATTTATGAACAAAAAATGGCTCAATTTAGGTTTCAATGTAGAATGCATGATGTAATAGTTTTGTATTGAAATTGTAACGAGTAGTGTAAAGGCACCATTGGATTTAGGTCGAAGGAACGTGGACGACATCCTCAGGGATTCGACCTCATTCCTAACCAAAGGGTCCCCCTTTGTACAATTTTGAGATATCTCCTTTTGGCTGACTAACCCCAAAAGTTTTTCTGAAGGCGCTTTTGGCGCCCAAGTTCGCGGCTTTTGAGGGAGGAGCGAAATAGAAGTCGCAATAGGGTTTTCAGGGATTAGTGTTCACTTAAAAAATCATACTGCGATTAGTGTTCACTTAAAACATGGGACCGATCCGTTTCAACGTTTATTAACATGACTTCAGACATATTGTTAGAAATAAATTTGTTAGGTTTTTGAGTTGTGGCTCTGCTAAATAATTTAGATTAGTTTCTTTTGTTTGATTTCTATGGGCCAACTTTTCTGATTACGGTTCAGTTCATTCGTTCTGGTCATAGCCCAAATTGGCTGACGCCGGATTCACCTCTTCAGCTTGAACTATTACTTCATCGTTGTTTTTCTTTTTTACTCCTGTCAAAACAGCTGCGCCCTTGCTTAATTTGCTCTCAATAATCTTTTCTTTTTCCAGATTCACCAATACTTTGTCTGAAATATTATCTTCGAGTCCGCAGCGTTGGGAGATTTTCCTTGATTTTGGTCGGCAAAGGTTCAGAAAGGTGATTCCTGCGTTATGGTACGGCTCCAGTGATCGCAGACCTTTTGGCAAAAACTTAAAGTTCTTCAGCTTATTGGGAAGCACCGATGGAGCATAGCGTTGTAGAAGCTTCATCGCTGTGATAACTAATCCAAACAAGATCAGCAAGCAGCAAAAAACGGCGACGTACACCTCGCCAGCCAAAGAAAGTGCAAAAACGATTCCGGGGAACATAACAAATACAATGAAAATGTACACGACAGCAAACCACTTGTATTTTCGGGTAGTCTTTCCGAGATGTCTGGCACATCCTAAAGGTATCCTGCGCATCACCGGAATCGGATACCAGATTAAGATTCCGATTATATTAAACAGCAGGTGGCACATGCTGATCTGAAGTGCCTGCTCAAAGTTTTTGTCACTCGCCAGCGCCGCCAGCAGACCGGTGACTGTTGTTCCGATGTTGGATCCCAGAACCATGGGAAACGCTCGTTCAATTCCAATTATGTTCAGACCAACGAGAGGGGTGAGAGTTGAGGTGAAAATGGAACTGCTTTGCACTAAAATTGTCATCCCGCATCCCACCAGAATAGCAAAATATCCTATCAGAAAGTCAAGTTTCTGGAACTTGCCCGGGAACCCTTTGTTCACAAATTTGTTCACAATTTTTGCGATGTGACCGCTGAAGATGGAGTTCAGCACCTTGACGATGAAGAAAAGGCAGATGAACATTACGACAAGAGCAATTGTAAGTAGAAGTCCACCCGCAGCTTTGTCAGAATGTTCCCAGTCACAGAACAAAGCTTCGCAGTGCTGTCGGTCGGAGGGTAACTCTGTCAAGTTTCCACTGGCGTTGACGGCCTTGACCCACTTTTTCCAGTCCTGGGCATAAATCTTAAGAACCCGCTCGTCACTTCCAACGTCTTTATCCTTGGAGATTTCCTTGATAAAAGTTTTGTTGACTAAAACAACTCTGTCCATGAGAGGGTCGGTGATTCGCGACAGCAACTCGACTTCCGCGTCCTCGTTTGGAGTCACGTTCATCACGCCGACTATTTCTTTCGACAGTTTCGTCAGGAATCCAGTGATCCATTCTAGCGGCAGCATGATCGCCACACAGAGCAGGTTGAACATGTCATGCATAGTAGCCGCCGCAAAGGCCCTCTCGTACATTGTCTTGTCTTGTATCTGCCCAATTGCGACAATAGTGCTTGTCACCGAAGTGCCGATGTTAGCCCCCATGACGATGGGAACCGCCTGATTGACGGTCAAGAGATCTGCAGCTACCATCGTCACGATGATCGAGGTGCTAGTGGATGATGATTGAAGAAGCACTGTCACTAAAACTCCAATAACCAGACCAGCCACTGGGTTGCTGATCACGTGATCCTGACTGAAGACTTCTCCTGCTTCCTTTCCTCCGAGTAGTTTGAAGGCGCTGCCCATGAGGTCCAGTGAGCAAATGAAGGCGTACAGAAGTCCCAGCACAATTATGACTCGCACAATTACCCACCAAGGAGCCTGTCGGCGTTCCAGTTCCTCCTTACCGACATCTGGTGAGGTCTCGGTTCCACCATCATCGACAGGGGCTGACTTCTCTGGATCTTTGTTGGAACTCATTTTCAGTTTCGTTTCTCTATTCAACTTTGTCACTGACTTAACAAAGACTAACTATTTTAGTTAAATTGAGCTAAGTTGTTTAATTGCTCTCACACTAGTTCCTGTCAACGAAGTTTTCAAAATGACCAAATTGAGCAATAGTTTTTTTGTACAATTTGAGCCATATATGCTACACGCAAAATCACATCATCACGCCATCTCACCTTTTTGCTTTAACCCAATCAAATCAAGTTTTTTTCTCAATTTGTTCAAGCTTTTACCATATATGTATGCCGTAGCTTCACAGGCCATTAATAGTACTGCAACAATTATTTTCATTTGTAGAAAATTTAAAATTCTGCAGTAATCAACAAGTTCGTTCATGCATCAAACACGCGATATTAAGATGTGTGAAATGTGATGTCAAGTTTTTTCTTGTCTCAAAACTTTTTTTTGAACAAGACCTCTATGATATTGTTTGAGGTGATTTTGTGACTTTTATTCAAAGTGAACAAAATCAGTCTTCCAAGTGCAAATGATCTTGTTAAAATCCAGTCGTCTGGTGTAAGACGACGCGTTGAAAATGATCCAAAAATCTACCGATGAAAAAAAACAATGTTGTGTTATGGAGTAGGGATGGTCAAAATATTAATTAATCGCAACCCCCAAAAATCAATTGTTGTTTGGTGCAATCAATTAATCTGGCGAATGGGTGGCAGGGACTATTTTGTGAACTGGAGCCGCGATATTTTCCGATTATCTTGAAAATGTATTTCTAAAAATTTTTCAAGATAATCGGAAACTCTCACGCCTCCAGCTGCCAAAATAGTCCTCCCTGCCAACCCCCCCCCCCCCCTCCAGATTAATTGATGATAGATGAAGCTGATAAGAATTAATTCAATTTGTTCTTTGCTAATTTCAGTGGCAAAAAGACTTCAAAGTTTATTTTCTAGCGGATGTAGGGGGTGCAGGGGGGGGGGGGCAATTAGGGGGTATACTAAATATCTTTTAAAGGCAAATATATAATAATTTTGAGAAAGAGCGCGTCAAAAACAACGCAAATCTTTGGTCAGAATTTTCAAAAAGTGCCTACAACTGCTGTTTTTGGCCGGTTTTCTCAAAAAATTGCTTGCGGCGCAGAGAATTTGCTCAAATAATGGTTTTTTTAGTGATTTGGGAGCGGTCACAAAATCTATTTGATTGACCTAAAAAAATATCGACAAATAATTTAAAACTTTTATTCAAAATCCGCCCCCCTCGAGGAAAACCTAAATCCGCACCCGACTTTGAGGCTGATTCACTGATCCTAGCCAGCCCTGCATTGAAGTTTAATTCTTTTAATTTGTTTTAATTTGATAAACTATTCTAACGCTAAAGTGAAACTACTAAACGTAAGAATCTCAGATAAATTAATGAAATTAGTTAGGTTATGAAAAATATTAAAATTAAGCGACAACTAAGCTCTCAAACGGTAGTTTTTATGACATCCTATTTGTCAAAATAGGGTCTTTACAGTGTTCTCAGAGCGCTCGGAAAATCAATTTCGTCGGCTTTAAAACAGATAGTCAAAATTTTTGAAACATTTTTGAACATCCGCCCTCCCCCCACACCCCCTCGAGAAAATCCTAGATCCGCTCAAAGTTCACAGGAATTTAGTGCTGAGCTCAATTTAGTAGAGCACAAATGTTTTCTAAAACGGAAGCCAGGTAACTGAACAATTTCTGAATTTAGAGATTACGAAGTCATATTATTAGATAACTTGTATGTAAGTTCGGATGTTTGCACTTACGGATGTCTGACCTATAGGATGTTTGCACTAGCACCGTTTCTAATTTATGTTCACGTTTCTTTTAAGAGCTTGAATTGACCTGGTCAAACTCGAGTCTTCTAGGAAGTTCTGTCATACGCGACTGTCGTATAACATTTGAACTGAACAAAAAAGCGTTCGTTGGTGAAAAGATTGAAATAAATACATCAGTTTAGTGATGTTTTTGAGCCGAGAAAGGCGATGAAAAATTTACCACCAAATATAAGTGCAAATGCGTTCATGCTTTTTTATGTATTTTCTTTTTTATTTCTTTATACCAACAGAACTAAAAACAACAGAACTAAAAACAAAAAGACCAGTCAAAAGGTCGATGGCCTCAAGAAACTGATCAATCCTGCGTTGCAGAAAAGAAATTGTTATTTCCATTTTGTTAAAAACCTAGAAACATGCACAGGATAGTTTTACTAAAAACTAATTCTTATGAATTTGAAACTATTGTTCCCCTATAGTATACTTTGTATAGAATTAGCACCATAACCAAAGAAGAGCTAAGCCAATTGGAACCTGATCTAAACTACATTTTATTATTGGTCATAAATTAGATATTTTAGCACTATAAAATATTTAATATTAACCAATCATGATCCATCTAACTAACAACCCAATTATTTGTAATTGCTGAAATTACTTGTAATTTCAGCACCATAGAGATTTGAATTTAACTTAGAATTTAGTTGCCTCTCCAAGAGAATTTTAGCAATCGCAATAAGCCAGCATACTCTAATAAAAGTAAGATTAGGATCGGTATTAGACTAAGAAGTTGCACGAATCTATCCGGCCGAAAATAAGATAGCGTGACGAACAGACGGTGTACCCTACCCGAAATTACTCTATGAGTTGGACCTAAAAACTAAACTCATCTGGTGCGACCAGAAGATCTACGACGATCTACGACTACCTATAAACTTACCATTAAGTTTCATGGTCGTATGACAGAAGCCGACACAGATTAAATTTTGTAAAATTTTTATAATATCATAAATTTTTATCAAAAGCGTTTTCAATGTCTGAAATGGACATTTATCAGATTTTAAGGTTGAACTACTACAAAAAATTAAAAGAGTAATGGACAGATGACGTTGATGGCAATTGTATAGTTTTAATTTGTATAGAAACACAGAAAGTTCAATAGTTTTGTTAAAAAGATGGAGAGGAGATTTCAGAAAAGAAAAGTACTGCCAGATTTATCAACAATGTTTTTATCTAGAAGAGTTAAGTCAGATTCAAAGATCTATCAGTAATAAACAAAACAATCGAAGAGCCTATGAAACAAAATTTGGAGATAAATAACATCATTTCGATTACTGTTTTGAATTTGATACAAATACAAAATCCAGATTTGTCAGAATATTTTTTAATTGATTATCCAAACGTAAAAGACTTCCGGTTGTTTAAATTACAATATATCAAAAAGAAAGTGATAAAAATTTATCTTTTGGTAATTCATTTTTTCATTGGTTAGAAATTGAACAAATGGGAAAAAAATTGATCGAAATTTCAAATTTTGAATTGAGTATCGAAAAAACAATATAAACCAGACACTTAATCTCATTGAACTTACTAAGGTATCAAATTTTTTATCCTAATTATGTTAGAAAATTCATTAAAAATGATTGATTAGGAAGTTTCATTAACATACTTTGGTTCTGACCTATAAATTTGTTTTTAAAAATCAGTGATTACTTCACTCTGATTGGTTATTACCACAAATACTACTTGTGAAGGTATCCTCAATAGCTATAAACGATATCAAAATTGTTGAAAAATTCATGACAAGTAGAGGTCAATTCTGATTGGTTGTCATTAATTTTGTTGAAAATTCCATGACTATTGGAGCGCAATTCTGATTGGTTGACATTAAGTTTGTTGAAATTGATAAATGACCTGGAAAAAAAAGAAAAAATGAATGTTTTTGCTAAACTTTGAAAACTTCAACATAAAGATATACATCGTTCTCAACTCAGAATTTACTCTAAAAAAATTCAGAATTTAAACATTAGTATATAGTTATTAGGTTGAGAAAAACAATTAAAGACTTTTAGCAAAGGATTTATGGTACTAATTCTGCTTCGGATTGTTGAATGTTCGTTGAAACGATACATTTTTCCATCTAAAATTCAGTTTTCAAGTAAACATTTGTTCAAGTTGGTTTCATTTGGTAGATAGTAGACGAAGCAGAAACTGAGAAAATGCTAAAATGAGATAGAAACTCATTTTAATTCATTAGGAGTTTTGAGATAATTTTACTAAAACTTAGCTTATAAAGTATAAAGTAAATCCGACATGAAAATTCTCAAAGGTCTATATTTATGCGTAATTCATAAGAAAAGTTTGTTATCATTTGACATACTAGATACTTGATATGAGAAATCAAATGTTTTGAGGATAATTTTTGTAAAGAAAACCCAATCCGACGTCTTTTAGAAAATGATACATGAAGCATAAATCAAAAACTTGCTTTCAAGATCTACAGTTATTTATTTTTACTTTTGAGTTTTTTGCTTATTAAAAATCGGAAAACTATACAATTACTCCAGTTTACAACTTCATTTCCTTTGCTTAACAATTTTTTGAGACGCGCTCTTTTAGAAGTTTTTAGATTTTGTAGATGTTAGGAACTAGATTCTCTTGCGTATTTCCGAAGTTTTTCAGATTATTACTAATAGAGCTGCCGTTAATTTTTTCTTAAATCGTAACAATACACCTTTATTCTCTCATTTTTACATATATTTTTGAATGCTTCTACTAGCACCAATTCTCTCTCACTTGGATCATAAATTCAAAAAAAAAATGATTTAATATATATTTTGCAAGAAAAGTCATAGTTATTGATCCCAAAAGTTGTATTTTTGCTTAAATAAATTTCGGTAGCAACTGAGCAAGGGAACCTTGAGGAACACATTTGCAATTTTTATCGTAATAATCAGACGGTATCAGTTCTAATTTCATCTCTGCCGGCAAATTGTTCGTTCAACTGATACTATTTTCCTCCTAAATCCTCCAGTTTTGACTCAATTTTCTTGTAAAGTGTGTTCAATCGCAAAAATATGTATTAAGAAAAAACAAGAATAGCCTCAAATAATAGATAAATTCTACGGAAAATCTTGAAAATTATGTTGCAGAAGCAACAGAGAGATAATCATCTGTTATGAAGAAGTTTTTGGTGATTTTTTGAGCCAATATTGAATAAACT